AACTGCCGGATGCTTCCCCTACAGGTCTCAAGGTTGATACGATATCCCCGTCGGGCATATCTCTCCAGCTCCTAGTTGCAGTTTCTTCTTTGGGAATGGCTATCAAATTCTCTAGCCCTTGGTTTTTCGTGCGTAGTTGGTTTGAGCGGGTCAGGGTAAGGGTCTCTACGTCCTGGCAGCGTGATATGGCTATGTTGTGATGATTATTATGACTTTGGTGAAGTTAACTAGAACCAGATTTCCATGGCTTGTGGTTAAGTAGCAGGCGTCATCAAGGTTTTGCCATGGGAATGATCACATCAGACGGCAGCCGACTAATGCACTACACATCGGCAGGTCGCCGATCAACTCTCATGTACGAGGCCTTGTTTATGAGACAAAAAGGGAAACGACGCGATCGGTAGTCGTCGTCGTCGTCCGTCGTCGTAGTCGTAGTCGTTGTCTCGTCGTATTCTAGTGTCAGGAGAGGAGAGAGATGGGGTGGGGAGAGCATGTGATGGCTCACACCGGGCTGCTACGTCGCGAAACTCGTCCAACCAGTTTTTATCTTCGAACGCCGCCGCGCCGATGTCAGCGAGCCCGAGCGGCGGGGGACGCCTAGCCCCATTTGTGGCCCACTTCACCCCTTCTGCTACCCCTTTTCAACTCATCGGCCACAATTCTTACCCCGTTTCGCTCCCACACGCGTACACACCGGATGTTTCGAGTGTGTCTCCATTGCTCTTGTGACTCACCCCTTCCATCTTATTCCGCTTTATTATTCGTCCTGTTTATGGATCCGCTATTTTTGGCTTCGTTTTCTGCCAGCCGCCTTTCACATCACTTTACTCCTTACTGTTACTTACCCAAAATCTTGATTGCCGCTATGTGGGTCCTGATTGGAAATCTAAACCAAAGCTTCTATGTCAGGCTACGGTAAACTTGTTCAGTGCCTGTCCGTAAAAACGGGATTGATCTTTTCGTAGGGCGTTATTAAGTTCTTTGATTATTGAGATCTCTTGTTGATATTGAGCTTCCGCCATGCTATCTCATCCGTTCTTTCTACCTACCGTACACTGCTCTTATATAGTTATCTACCTACCGTATTCTGCTGTTATATGCTTCAAATCGAACTGCCATTTTTCATTTACGTTGTCAGGTTCTCGCTTAATTTTACAGTCGTGTGTGTTGACGCTCTCAGTGACGTATGCTCGGCTTGTTCGTTTAGGAATGCAACAATCGAAATTCGTGGTAGTCGAAGTGACTACCATGACCTCCACCATGACCTTGATACAGTATCTGGTGAGTTTTGGGTGGTGAAGGGCGCACGGCGTTTGTGCTCTTCGCATGCGCCAGCGCGCCACTTTACGATTCCGAATCGAGGTTGGACTCGAACTGATACGCGCCATACCACCATCCACCTGTTTCAGATCACCAACGGTTTCGACAAATTCGCCGTCTTATCAGATCTGTCCGATCATCCCTCGCTCAAATACAAAGTGACCTCACCGGCCAGCGGATCACAACCGAATAACGGCAATGAACGGACATCCGCCGAATGTGGTGGCCACGAATGAACGCAATGGCAAACCGAAAGTGTCCATCAATGAGATCGCATCGGCTTTGTCGAGAAAATCATCGCCGTCACAACCAAAGAATGGATTCTGCGTGAGTGTGTGTGTGCGGTCTCTCAACTCAAGCCCCCGTACGTGAAACGTCCTTCAGGCCCCAAAAGCCTGTCTTTGGCGATGATGACGACGCCGGTGGCGGCGACAACAACGACTACGTTTGCATCATGTGATTCGAGTTTCAATTCCACATTTCTCATAAGTTTCCAAAGTGGCTATGGCTACAGTTTCCTCTGTAGTCTAGTTCAGGCTTACTTTTCCGTAAACTGGTGGTGATCATTAGACATGATCTGTGAAGAACGTGCGCCACTTGTTTTTTTTTTTACGTTTACGAGCAACGCCGAGTCTTCCAAAATCCTCGCTGACCTCGTGGCACCCTTCGCACGGAAGACATGTTACATAATTCAGTAGCAATCAAAGGCTACTTTGTGACCTTCCTGCTTTGACAATCCCGGGAGTGGAACCCAGTGGCGTTGCGGGGCTCGATTAGCTTTATCAAGGGCTCAAAAGTAGAGAAACTAATCAGAGAAGCTTATGTTTGGATAGTCCTTTTGCTGCTCTCGAGGTAATTGCCCAGTCTGACCTGCTTTGACCCATACCGGTGCTACCCACGATGCGTAAGCTGCACAGGAAAAACCACCGCTAGAATGTATAGTCCTGAGATTCCCAACAGTAACGAGATTGCCCCCGTAGACTTGAGTTTTTATTGCAGGAAGCAGACCCCAAGCATAGATTTCCACGCCAGCTGTCAAGCTATCGCACGTTGTAGAACCTCAACGGGTATTGCCGCCAATAGGTGGACATGTTCAGCACTCGCTGATTCAAATCAAGACAAAATTCGAGCCAGCAAGAAACCAGCTGTTGGGAAGAGGCAAACAACATTTGCTTATTCTCACATATTTCCTCTGCCGAAATATATTGATTCAGTTGCTATTTGAGAAATTTCCCAACGGTTATTTGAATACTATGAAAGCGATAGCTGTTAGGGCACTTATAATTTAACAACCTGAAAGCAATCATTCCCTATTGAAGCTCAGGAAAAGTGGAGTTGAAGTCTCGAATCAGGTGCTTACCAGCTCAAGTCAAGGGTTTTGAAACTAGAAGATTTCCGCGTTGTGAATTTTCACAAGAGACCTTACCACATAAGGAATTAAACTAGATTTTCATGCTAATCACCTCTATTTCAGTCTACAGCTCAGCAGCAGTCTGCTCTGAAAGCCCAAAACTGAATGCAGGCAATCCGAGGACGGCAGCTTTCGCATTCTGGAGGATCAAAGCCGTGCAGCGGCCGCAGAACAAAAGCGGGATCAGGAGCGACGGAAGAACAGGAACGACAACAGCAAGAGATCCAACGAATCATCCTCGCTCAGGCTGCTTGCCAGCCGATGTGCGAATCGTTCACAAACGCGATCGAAAACGATGAGAGCAACGGGTATGTGATCGGCTTTTGTTTGGATTGTCAAGAAAATGGGCTTTTTTGTTGATTCTTTCGGACTCTTTCAAATCTGAACATTCTTCCACATCCTCCTTCACTATAGGCCTAGGTTACGAGAAGATTGTAGAGTTTCAGCTTGCGCAACTACCACGCGCATGGAAGTTCCGACTTGAATTTTGCCCGTGCCAGGCTAACCTTATCTCCTTGCATCTGCCATGCAAAACAGGTGGTAGGCTCAAGATCACTTACTCCTACTCCCGTTAATTCTTATGCTACTGTAGCCGAGGCATTCGAATTCCCTGTGATGAACGGAGTAGAATTCGAGCGCATTCCTCAAAGATAGTGATGCGAGCTTAACGCCTTTATCCTCGCAGCGCCGCAGCACTCTACACTAAAACTGCGCTATAGCCTGGTACAACGATTTCGCTCGCTAGGACAACTCAGGGTTAGTCCATGTTTTATTCCTAAAGAAGATGATAAGGATGGTCAGCATCAATCTGCCGCTCCCGGATGCGCCATGCATTTGCCTAAGCTAAAACTTTACATGCCTTTTATTTTTTGGATGAGGACATCATATCTTCACTGGGCATAGACCTTCTCCACATATTAAGTCAACGATTTTTGCGTTCGCTAGGTCAGATTTTCTTTATTTAACGCAAATAGAAAACAAGCTTGCTTGAGTGGGCGGCATGGCAAGGGTATAATTATATTTATCGAGTAAAAGTAGCACGATCACAAATTTGCCGTTTTCAGTCCAAACATATACCAATAAACAGCTGTTTTTCTCAGCAAGGGGTGGGGCAAGTCGCCCATTACAATTCTGAAATTGTAAACAATTGTCAAAACAACAGAATTCATTCATAGGAAGATATCTCAATACCTTGATCACACATAGACGTAAATTTTGCACAGTTTGTTGGGGAATGTCGCCAGTTAAAAATATATAAGATTACTGCAATTGGGCAACGATTTCAGTTATAAAGCCTAGAGAAAGCGTTTTGATCAAACTACCAAGATATCAGACTTCCACCCCTTCTGAATCACATCGCATCGTAATGTTAGTAGTCTGCTTATGTTCTCTCTACTTGGCTTATTATCCTCTGCGTGACTCAATTTCTAGATCCCCTGCCTTGCCCCTAAAGTAGGTCTTTCAGCCAAGGTGCGCTCTTTAAAACGTTTGCATATTTAGGGACCAGATAGGATAAACGCAGCAACCATGTTAAATTTACCTAAACTTATAGCATATCCAAAAAGAAGCATGCCGCTGTCAAGGCTTCAACCCCCGTGCCATCTAAATTTCGCGTTTGTTTTTACGGATGTTGGCGCCTACGGTTTGGTGCCAAATCGCGCTAAATATCAAAATCAGATGTCAAATTCATCGTCAGGACCATTTTGAAGCCAACAAGTGGCCGCCAACCTTGATTGCAAAATTTAGTCGCCGCGAGGGATTGAACCATCAAGAGTATTATTCACCACTTTTTTGGTACTACTAAAACCGTTCAGCGAAAACGAAACATGGTTTTGTGGTCCATACATGCGTCCCTACAACATGTACTAAAACGTTTCCAAAAAGCGCACCTTGCCCTGAAAGACCTCCCTTGTCTTCGCAGGCTGTAGCAAGGAAGTTTGCGATCCCAAGTTTTTGACGTTTTTTCCCCTTTTCTTTACCACCAGTCGACTTAGCATCCCCACCATGTAAATGGGATTACCAAGAAATTTAACTCCTGGTGAACACGTCTGACATAGAACACGCCATATCTATTCCCTGTCCGTTGGTGTTTTCCCGACAGTTTCTCTATTCCCCCCCCCCCCCCCCATTTCTACAGCTCTTATTTGCTTCTCTTCATTCCATACTGCGCGACTTGAGGTTTAGCATTTGCTCTTTTTAGTAATCTTCGTAATCATTCCGTTTCCAGATCACCGGAGCTCGACGACGTTGGCATTCTTGACTCCTCAACAGTGAACCTATCTGGAACCGACACAAATGGCGCTCACGACACTGACCACGGGGCCGATTCCAGTGACGGCGGACTCGGCCCGTCAGATGAGCAAGTCCGTGCATCTATGATTCATCTGTTGAATCCTGTGCTGGGAAGCGCTTTCGGGGTATTTGTTTCTATATTTACTTATTTATTCGATGCACGCATAGATGCGCTCTATGAAATTTCATCTGTGCCAGGTCAAGTAATAAACACATTTAATGGGAAAGCCAGACGAACATAAACAAACAGGGATACCGAGCTCTCTAGCAAAAACGATGAGGTGGCTTCTATTAAGATGGGAAGGTGAAAGTGTCCTGCATGCTCCGTAATGATCACTGCGGCGTAGCAACATTCAGCAACATTCATGTTTACGTCGAATGTGTGGGTGTGTTTACGTTTACAGTGAATGTCAGTGGGCGAGCATAGGTCCTCACGGAACCTGAAACGAATTTTTTGAGTGCTAAACGCTCCTCTACGCCTACCCCTACCCTAACAGCCAATTTGCTGGAAAGCGAATTTCGGGCCTGGAGACTTTTCGGCTATACGGTTAGAAGGTTCTAACGCAGCTGTACAGATCCATGCATGTTTTGCAATTCGAAGGTTGTTAGATCTAACAAGGGAGATCTGTGCGGCGCTTTTTTCAAAACGGTCTGCGCATGCTATAGGGCCTTTCTCGTTGTCTGCAAAACTGAGGCTAACCTTCGCTGAGCGGCCCTCTGAAGGCCAAAAAAGGATCAGAAAAAAAATATGCTTGAGTGGGTAGTCTTAACCGGATAGTTTTGGGTAGTTTTTACCAGATTGCAGGTATAATCTAATTACAAGGATTGCTGGTGGTCCTGGTAGTGAACATGACACCCACTTTTAGCGCTGGCGCTATTTTGAGCAAATCTGGGAGTTCAATCTAAAATTCTGAAGTAGTCATCAAGGGGATTTGGGCGTTGGACCATTTCTTCACCAATTTTTGCTTTTCGCGGGGTCGCTCAGCGAAAATGGACTTCAGATTTGTTGTTCACCCAAAATGCTTCCTATTAAATGCAGAAAACGGTTTTGAAAAGTGCTAAACACCCTGAAAGACCTTCCTTGTGAGAGTCTCCGTAGGTTAACTTTTCCCAAGTTCGGAGGATGGAGATGCTTGAATCTTTCCTAATGCTCAGTTGGCATCGCTGAAAAATATCTGACCCCTGGTGCAGCTTTCCTGAACCACCTGAACCTTTCAAGGCCCTACTACGCTGTTTTCTCGTAGTTCAGAATAACATAGAGGAGTTGACAAAGTGCACTTTTTGGGGGGCTCAAAAACTCAGTACTCGCAGAATTCTGGGTTTAATTCATCTCTTGAGGCGTATGGTACGGAAAATCTTCGTCTGTCGGAGCTTAAAACAGAGGTGGTAGGGGTGCACTGGTACAGAAAAATCTGAGAGAAAACGACCGACGCGAGAAATAGGACCCCTTCTTTCCGATTACTCCGTTATGGACGAGCCATTTGCTTGCACAGGCTACTCTCGATAGGCGGTATCATGCCAGCAACCTTTCATCCTTTCATTTATAATGCGCGAAATATAATAAAAAATAAGATAAGAAATAGATAATAATAAGAAATATGATAATAATAATATGGTAATTAAAATAATATAAGAAAGATACGGCCGCCTAACATAAAATGCTGTTTCAAAATGAAAGCGTACGGCAGAGGAGGCGGACCTTGCTAGGCAGGTGGCCCTTGCCAGGTTAGGGTTTTCTAGGTTGCAATGGGCAATCCCTCCGCCGCGATACAAGCCTTTTATGGCTTATCTCCCCTTCTTCCACACCCAGTTCATTGTAGTCCGCTTCGAACCATTTTGAGGCATAGGCATCAAGGGCAGGCCCATATGAGAGGGTCTCAAGTTTGAATTGACATGTTGATATAAGGAGTATCACATCGAATATTCTATTATGAAATTTCAAATATGTATTGCAGAGTTCACTCATCGAAGAAGGAGGTAATGCCAAACGCAAAGGTGACGAGAGCGGCAGCGGCGGAGCATCGAAGAAACATCGTTGGATGACCGTGGATGAGTTGGAGGAAAGTCGATTTGGCAGAAGCAAAAGTTACGGACGTGTGCACTGTAAAGCCACCTACAAATGCGCTGTAAGTACATATATTTGGTTCCAATGATTATACGATTTTGTAATGGATTCCAATGAGGAAAGGTTCCATAATTCATCATAATGGGACCATAACCTTAAAGACGCCCCTAAAGACGCACCATCGAATTAGTGTGATTCTTGCATGTGAAAATGAAAGCACAAGAAACCGGCACTAAGAGAGCAAATCCGTCAAAAGCGTAA